TATATATACAATTATTTCAATGTACATACACGAGGAATGTCCGCTTGGAAATGATTTTCTTCCGTCTCTAATAGTAATTGGATTTCCTGAGCATTTAAATTCAGGATTCATTTGCCCATCTGGAAAACATCGCCAAAAGAAATCTGGCCTTGGTCGTCCTATAACAGTAAAATATATATTAATTCCTTAAGAATACTAAAGGCGTATATATATATATGCATTCTAATAGTCATCAATATGTACGAAAGGTGTATATTTCGCCTAATGATATATAATAAAAAAATAAAAATAAAAAAAATATTACCGTATATATTGATGACTTTGAATTTAAGTGCATGCAGTCAAAGGGTTAAGATATCAATTCAAAATATACAACTAATACTTTTTTTATCTGCTCTATATACAAAAACAAAATCATGCAATAAATTAATTGTCAATAGAAATATTTAACCCTTACCAACTATGAGCTTTATAATGTCTGTTATTAAACCATTAAATCCCAAAGCTAATGTCACGCATAACAGAGCTTGAGAAAAATCATTTCTGTCTTTGTTAATTATAAATGAAAATAATATCACAACAACTGGCATCAAGAATACAAGAGGCTGAAAAATGACAAAATATGTACCATTTTAATATTATACATGCACTAATCTATTGTAAGATATAGTGATTAAAAGAATACCCATAATACTGTAGTTGGAACGTAGGAATCTGTTTGTGGATTTTTATATAACCATAATTCATTTTCGTGTATTTTTCTATTAAATGGCTCTGCTTGTTCCAGTACTCTATAATAATAGCAGCATTATTATAAAGATCACTTATTTATATAATATTAATAAAAATCATTTTAATAAAATACATAAAATTTTGAATTCATATAAATTTAAAAAATTATTTAAAGTATAAAATATTTAATAACTAAATACTCACAGAAATAACAATGCCAAAATGATTCGTAATAAAATGTCAAAGCAAAAACCCGCTGAAAATTCAATGCCGAAAAGACGTACAAGAAGCATTTTAGACTATCAATTTTATTAGATTATATTAATTATCACTTTAACATTTCTTATTTCTAAATAAAATAATTTATAATAAATACGTATGCTAGCAGAATTTTATTACAAATAATACATTACAATTAATAGTGCACATTGTTGTGCGTTTAATACTTAAAAATAAGAAATTAGCACAAGTGTCAATCATAGTTGCCAACCTTATAAAAGTGTTGTATACCAACTACGGTAAAATTATTCTGTTACATTTTGCAATTGTTAAGCTACAGAAACGGCACGTAATTGGTTGAATTGTTCATACAAAGTATTGCCTCTGGGATCTCTGGTAGGGATCCTGTAGGAGGGATGCGCCAAAGAATTTTGGAGGACAGGAACTTATATAGTCACATGATTGCGCGCGAATGAATCAAACATTTTAAATAATATTAAAATTGTATATGTATAGTAATAGTGAATAGTGTAGGGGGTAGAGTGGTGAATTGGTTTGAAAAAAGTATGAAATAATGAATTGCATCAAATACAGAAAAAAAGGAACCATATTTAATGATAATTAAAAAATTTATATTAAAATAGAATAAGTTATACAAAAAAATTATTATAAATTCAAAAAGAAAGATTCAATTAAGTTTGATTTGATAAAAGGCAATACAGTATTTTGAAATTTCAAAACAACTTGTAGGAATTTATACAATTTTGATAAATATAATTATCTACTATATATATTATATTTACAATTATTTTAATCATTCGTACAATTTGTTTTTAATTTCCAATATTAATAAATCAGCTAGGATTCCTGGGTATTATAACTTCATAATTAACCACAGCCGTTATTTATACATACTAAAAATAAACATGGCTGCGCGTTGCATCGGAAGCTGTCCCCTAAAATTTTCAGCCAATGACAAATGAGCAATATGTTCTGCGCGTCCCTCCTACAGGGTCTCTAATCTCTGGCACTTGAAACGCTATCTGGTGACTATATTCAAAATTAGAGTAGATAGGTCGAATTACTACGCCACGCCCCTGCCAGAGATCCCGATTTTTGATTGGTCCAAATATAAGAACCATTAATAGCAAATTAGAATGCTAATAAATATATCTATAGAAAATCTAAAATAATTATTATTACAATTTAATGGAGTTAATAAAAATAGAATTTTAATTAAAAATTTTATTATATATATATAGATTTGTTTCAACTTTATATTTCAATACATTTTAAATTGTAACAACATTTTGATGAAAATATATAGGGGAAAAAATAAAAATCTATAAAGAACTAAAATCTAGTTTTATATACACAATGTACATAAATGGAATAGCCATTGCAACAGTATAGATATTTTGTAGTGTGCATTAAAGTCGAGATCATAAATCTTTTACTTTTACTATGCCAAAATATTTTGATCTGATCAAACAATTTTTAGTTGATACGTAACATATCATAGTATATTGTTAATCTATTGAACAATAAATTTATTTTGGTAAGTGAATATATTAATATAGGTTTTGATATTAATTTCGAATTTACACAATTTTAAAATGATATATTTGTTTTTATTCAATAAATATGTTTAATCTCTTTGATTATTTTTTAATATTTTATTGATTATGTTATCAAATTATAATGATCATTGAACGAAAGTGAAATTCATCTTGTAGAAATGAAAGTGCTTGCAATATGTATTATAATTAATATATTTTTATTTTGGGTTTCTAGATTTTAAATTAAAGTAAAATTAGACCTAACTATTCATATAAGAGAACGATTTATCAGAAGAAATTGTTCAAGATTATGAGGATCTACTACATTCACATTTCTATTATTTGTTCATGACATAGTCATAATGTCATCTGGATTGGTTTCTTCTACTTCGCTGGGTAGCTATGAGCTACCCAGCCCATTGGGAGATACAGTGGAAGATAATTTAAATAAATTTACAACATATCTTCATCAAGTTGCTGGAATTAATGAAAAGGAAGTCGATGTGATATTCAAGGACCACTCATATGCTCGTCCATGGAATTGGAAACCAGAAAATATTTATGTTAAACCGATAAAAAAATTATTTTTTTCTAAAGCTAATTTAGTTACGTAAGTTAATATTTAATATTTAATCAAATTACTTCTTTCTCAAATAAACAAAATTATTTCTTATTTATTTATTATATTGCCACAGGCAAGACGAAGAGGTCGATGTAGAAAAAATTGATGATGAACAAGCAGTTCCACCATTAGATTTTACAAGAACTCGACATGTTATGGATGAATTTCAACGATTAGCAAATTTTGTAAGACCGGGAGATAACGAAGATTGGGAAGAAAAAATAGACAAGACGATGTGGTCATCTCTACAATGTCGAATATTTACTAAAGTCATTAAAATATTGAACTCTGAGCGACTTGCAAGATTAGCAAAAACAAATGATGTTGCAGAACCACTGTTTCGTCGTACATCAATAAATACTACAGCAAGAAGATTTAGAGAAACTTTAGCTTCTGCTGGTTGGGATTGGAGACTAACTCAATGGTTACATAGTTTACTGTTTGATCATCTTTCTCAAGAGTACTTAGCTATTTATCTTGATATCCTACAAACATTAAGACTAAAAATTCCACAACTTATTGATAAAATGATAACAGTACAGCCAAATATTATTGGAAAAAATGGTTCGGTAACATGGGAAACTCTTGGTTCTATGTTAAAACGAACTTGGGATCCAATTGCTCCTGCGTTAATTAATAGCAGACTTGTAAATAAACTATGATATATATTACATCATATTACTTTAATCGTATAAAAAATATTTTATGATTATATGTTTAATATACTTTTTATTGCAGAAGAAACTGCCAGGAAATCCTATTTTAATAATAGCTCCATCTGGTATTAGCTCTACTATTTCTTCTCGCCAACATAAATGGATTACACAGTTAGGAGCATTAGGAATGGTAGTTAATGTGCATACGCATATAGGGTTAGCAGCTAACAGAATGACAATGATGGTATGCATTGATCAACTAATTCAAGCTACACGAGCTAAAATAGAGGATATTAGAAGTGACTATCCCGGTAGACCAATAATCCTTATTGGTTTCAATACTGGAGCAGCTATTGCTTGTCAGGTATAATTATTTTCATACAAATTATTAACTCATTTGTAATATACTATACAGATAGCCCTCCTACAACACGGTTTTCTTTCAAAAAACCTTTGTACAACACTACTTCTACAGCCGCGGCAAGGCTTGCCGTCTTAAAGACACAGTGTTATGGAAAGTATTTCTTTTCATCTCCATGGCCTGAAAACCTCAAGGTCTCGTACAACACGGTTTCACACAACACGACATTTTCTAGGAACCTATCTACCGTATTATAGGAAGGTTACCTGTATATAATAATTAATATGCAAAATGAAATACTATTTTGTTTAAATAATTAATAGGTGGCACAAATGGAACATGTAACTGCAGTAATTTGCCTTGGCTTTCCCTTTTCTACTGTTGAGGGAAAACGAGGATCACCTGATGATACGTTATTAGATATTCGTTGTCCTGTTATGTTTATTATAGGACAAAATGCTTCTTTAGTAAGACCTGATGATTTAGAAGATCTTCGTGAAAAAATGTTAGTTGAAACAAGTTTGGTAGTGATCGGAACTGCAGATGATTATCTACGAATATCGACTACTAAAAAGATATCAGAGGGTATTACACAAAGTATGGTAGATAGGTGCATTTTAGAAGAAATTGGTGACTTTGTAGGAAGCATTCTTCTGCAACCTAACCCTTTACCTCTAAGATCTATATCAGTAACTAATTATGAAAACAAAAACAACAAAAAGGACAACCGTAAAAGAAGAAATTCCACTAGTAGCTCTATTGAGAGCGAACCACATTCTCCTTCTTTAAAAATATCTCGACCAACTACACCAGTTTCTTCTACAGCATCAGTTGGATCTAGTACATCTTTGGCTCAAGTTACAAGAGCTGGATCTTTTACTACACAACCAACTCTAGTCACGGTTACTGGTCAACATATTAATCAAAGTTCAACAATAAGACGCAAATCACGAGTTATTAATAATCCAAAAACACAATTTGTAGAACATTTGATAACTTCTAGAGTACCTGCACAGGTAATAATAACTCTCTAATAGTATTCAGTTTTGTCGAATTTTGAATAATATAATCTTGTCTTTTGTAGAAAACTCCTAACTCAACAAGTGGTGGTATAACTTTAAACATTGGTTCTTTAGCAAGTCTAGCACCAATTGGACCAATACGTTTAGGTTCATCCATTGACCAAAATAATACAATTAAGACAATTAATACATCTAAATCATCAGTTGTGCCCAATAAAATTCCTAAAATTATATCAAATATATCACATCTGAATGTTCCTAAAATGAAAACTATTGTATCAACAAACAAAACTTTTTCAAAAGTTATATCAAGTAATTATAGGCATACTAATATCGTCGATAAAAATGGAGATACAAAATTGATCAATGTTTTGACAACAGGAGCAAATCAGTCAAGAATGAATTCTGCAGGTATAAAAATTAATTGCTTTTTAAATTCATTTCAATAATTATATAAATTGTATTTTATTCAATAATTGCTCTTTATGCATAGGACATAGTAAATCTACCACTAACGGAGAAGTTAGTGGAACAATACCGACATTGTTACACAATGGAAAAAGTTCTGCTTCTACAATAAATGGTTCTCCTTCCACTCGTATATCTTTAAGTTCAAGTATATTGTTAACACCTACGATCACTTCAACAACTAATACGCCAATCACCACATCAACTGTTACAAAAGGTAAAATATTATTATCTAATCAATTAGTAAAAAATTTACAGTGATCGTCAAATTTTTGAATTTTTTTTATATAGTATCTATTAATTTGATTAGATAAATTTAAATATTAAAGTTATTTTATATAATATTTTTAATAGCATAGTATCCTTATTCTTTATTTTTTGTCTTCTATTTCTCTTGGTAAAAATACTAATTAGGAATTTAAAAGATTATAAAAGCGAACTTGTAATATATATTCCCTTTATCCTAAAAATTATTGCTTATAAATTTTCAAGATGTTAGAAGTTGATGTAGAAGGTGATAGAAAGTTATATCTATTACATTTTAATCATACTCCCCACAATAATATCATATATTAATATATAAAATATTATTTCTTTTAAACTATACTTTCATTAGTTAATTTTCTTAAAAATATCATGAACTGAAATTTTTTTTTCAGAGAGTAAATGAGTTGTGTACATAAAATCTCTGGGGAATTCTTGTAAAATAGATTGTTTATAGAATATACATATAAGAGAAACTAAGGGGATTTATTATCTATTAGCAAACCATAAATAATTTTAAAAAAAACATACTTTTGTATGTATTTATATTCTTTTATCATTGTAAAGTTATTATGAAATTCTGAAAAATTACATTAAAAAAAATTGCATTGTAAATATATGCTAATTTCTATTTTATGTTAAATAAATATTTTTTCACATAATTTGAATTTGTTTGATACCTGTCCCAATCCTTTACAATATAATACAAGATAAACAGAACATTCACAAATTATTAGTAATTAAATCTTAATTGCATATCATTAGATTTATTTATTACAAAAATAGAATAAGTCATTATAAGTATAGGTAATAATGAGTAGCAATGTTAATTTATTTATTTTATATAAATAAAATTAATTTTAATATGTTAACAGTAAAATTTAAGCAAATCTAATTTCTTATTTTATATTTATATTTAAAATAGTCACTTCCGCGTGACAGTCGTGTCTATAAAGTGAAATCCTCTTAGTTTTTTGATGACGAAATCGCTTAATTTAATGTATTCATGTATAATATGATATATGTGATTATAATACCAGCATCTTAAAGCTACATCTGTTTTTATAGCGGTGGAAAACAGAGAATCGTCCAATAGTTCTCAAGATGTGACTCTTAATCCTACTCATATATGGGACATACCTAAAATCTCACAATTATCATCACAAACGGTTTCAGTTTCTACAAGCAAAGATATGAGTACATTAACTGGAAATGCTGCTGCAATTAATGAATATACCCACAATATCAGAAACACCCCTTCATCTGTAATAGCTCCATTAGGTTTTCATAAAACTGGAAATAATGTAGCTATGTCTAGCCAAGTGAAATTGTCTCATAATACAAAAACAATGCCAAAAATAACGCTAAATACAAATAACTTACAAAGAATCCAAAGAGGAGGAAGATCACAAACAGCATTAAAGAAAAATATCATTAATGATATAGATGAAGATTTGGGCAATATATTAGATATACCAATAATATTCGCTAAGGATGATGATAGTTTAAATAATGTTGAGAAAGTATCATTAACATCATACACATCTCAAGCAGCAGATTCTAAGGAAAAATATATACCTAAATTTAATACTACAAAAGTGGTTCTTATAAGTAACAAGCACGACAAACTTCAACACACTTCCAATAAATTTGTAACTCCTACGACACAAACAATTATATATCCTAATGTTCCTGCGCAAAATATGAATCACGTAATATTGCAAACTCAATCGCAAAATTCAGTAATAAAGACAAAAAATAGGCTTGGATTACCTGTACAAAATCGTTCGAATCAACCTACTATTAAGTACACTAAAATTATTTTAGCTAAAAGAAATAATGCACAGTCTTCTCATACCGATAAAAATGAACAAGTTCTATTATCAAGTACTTCTCAGAGATTAAATAAACCAAAAGTATGTATTTTTGAAAAAAATGATTATAAACGTGCTCTGCCTCAACTAAAATATCAAGAAAATAGTTCTAACGATACAATTGAAATCGAGGATGCAATAAAAACAAATATTATAGAGAAAAAATATATTACAATACCTGAAATTGATCTCACATCTCCGACTAAATGTAATGAAAGAGAAACGTCAAATGAACGTGAAGTCCAATTTGAAAATAAAGAACATACTGAACGTGTTACATTTAATAATACTACAGGACTGGAAACATAAGGTACCTTACTATGTCTTCTGATTGTTATTTACAATACTTTAAGAAAATTATTGCTGATTTTAAAGCATATTAATAAAACAAATGCCTGCCTCAAAAAAGCGCTAATAAAATATACATATTTAAGGGAGACTAATTAAATAAGAATATATATATATACATATAAGTTATTTAATTATGATCATATTAAAAAATATATTCATTTTTTACTTGTATATATGTACAGTAAACAAACTAAAACATACATTGCAGCAAATTTTGCAATATTATTTTTATGCTAGTTAAAAAATGTAATATATCTTATTATTTCAAGCAAAAATATTAATATTCTATGTGTAGTTATATTGAACAAATATTTAATTATACATATATATATATAAAAATATTTGAAATATTTTTTTTTAACTTAAATTTGAAATGTATGTTAAAGCTTTTACTACAGAATGATAAAACAACTGCAGGATTCTCATTATAAATAATTAAATTTAATTATTTATATATAGATAAGTTTACATAAATATTATCTGTTTGATTATCAATTGTTACCGTATTTTTTGTTTACAAAGTAAAATTATTCGCAAACAATCAGAGTTCAATAAAACATAAATATATTATTTTCGCTAGTTATGTATATTTAAAAAGCACGAAAATATTTTCTTAGAAGTTTCATAATAATGCGTAATTAATTATTAATTTATAAAAATAATTTTTTACCGCCTTTTATGTGCTTTTTCATTTCATCCAACATTTATATTTAGTTCATCTTGATTCATCAAATTTTTTCAATGCAATTACAAATTATTTCAAAGTTACTATGAACAATCATTTTATCTAGTCTTATTATAATTATAGTTATGCAAAGTTGTTTCTCTTGTGATGTTTATATAATGTATTATTGTATTTATATATAACTTAATTATATTTATATATAACTTAACATATTGTACACATTTATACCAAAAATTGTATCAAATATGACACACAAACTATTATGCGTTCTTGTATATCTTTACATTTTTGTTTTGATTTTTTAATATTTAATATGAAATAATTTAAATCAAAGATCTGTTCATTATAATAATATTTTCATCGTTTTCATATACGTAGTACATTTAATAATATTTACGTGGAAGTGTTTTATGATTTGTTTTATTTAAATATGATAATATTAAATAAATTATTTTATGTAAAACAAATCAAGTGTTATAAAAGTTATTAATAAAAATATATATACAATATGCACTCATAAAAATATTGATATAGTCATACATTAAAAATTTACATAAAGCACTGCATGATATATAAATTAAAAATATTTTAATATAATAAACATTCGTCGATATTTCATGATCATTTTTTATAGTAAATAACAATGCAATTTAAAAATATATCTTTAAACATCATTACCAAGCAAAACATCACCATTTTCACAAGTAAACATGACATGAACTTTTTTACTTAATTCAGGACCAACTCGTCTGGCTGTTGTAAGAGGTCCTGCTGCTCTTCTAATCTAAATTCATATATAGTAAAGATTTGAATATAACATAATATACTATTATTTTAAAATATTCTACATTTTTTGATTTTAATTAAAATTTGTTATTACTTACAGGAAGATCTTTTAATAATTTGCTACCTTCTGCAGATGTACAATTCTTATAAGCCTGAAATATATTATTGAAACATATTACAAATATAATTAAATATATCTATTAAACAGAGTGTCTTGTAACTAACAAACGAGTAGAGTTGATTTTACATGAAAAACTAAGTAGAAAATGTAAAATAAAATTTGTTCACATAATGCTTTGTTTTGTTGGAAAAACATAATTTGAAAAATTTATCAAGTACACGTACTAAAAGAATCATACCTCAACTAATTGTATTGGACTTTTATATACAGAACAAATCGCTTCTGAAATTTCCAAACTACTTAAATTAAATTGACAAAGTTGTTGTTGCCATAATCTCTTCAATCCATTTCCATCTTTATCTACGCATACTGTATCTCTATTATCTCCCGATATATACCAATTATATTCTTTATCAGATTGTTGTCTTTTTTCTAGTTTATATGGTTTTTCTGCAATAGCTTTTGTATATTGATAAATCATTAATGCTAAATCTGTTGCATTTTCAATGAGCCTGTTATTACATTTATTTATTATTTGATTTTCAGCAAGGCATTCTTCTAGTTGTTGTTTTGAAATCTTAGGAGACTCTTTATATGCTATAAATTCTTTAGTTTTATTATTTGATTTGCTTCCTGAACACTTGTCTAATTTTTTTTTATTCGTATGATATAGAAAGTATGCTTTAATACCGAAAATAACTAAAGTTATATTGTAATCTGGCAATAAAGTCCTTATGTAAGAAAGACTACTATTAAAACTATCATCTATTAATTTGTCTACTACTTCTTTCCAATTCCAAATAACAATTATATACTTTTCAATTTGCTTAATAGTTTTTGTACATATTTTATTATTTTCATCAATGCTATCTTCTTCTATAGTTCTTTCCCAAGTTATACTATTAGAAATTGAATGCGAAATGAAACTATATGATATATCTGCATCATTTAATGTTACCAAAGTTTCTGGATAAAATTTATATTCTTCTATATGTTTGTCCAAAATAACTTTGATAAATTTCATACATTCACCTGGTTTAATATTTTTTAATCTTTTAGCTTTTAACGCTTTTAACTTTTTTTCTCTCGCCAAGTTTTCCTGTTTCTTAAGGCGTTCTTCTTTCAATTTACTTTTACTTTTCTTAATTGGTTCCTTAATCAATTGTTGATTCATGCAAATATTTTCTTCATAACAGTCAGATTCTAAAGAATCAGACATATCATGAGTAAACGATCTCTTTTTAGGAAGTTTATTTGTAAATATTTCATTATTAGTTTCAGCATTTGAAATAACATTCAATGATTTAGAATTATTGCTTATAATGCACTCTTTTTGACACGATTTGTTTTTATTAGTAATATTATTTGTATCAATGAAATAATCAAACTGAACTTCAGGAAAATCAAAATCATCATCTGATGCAGGATTTTTTTGACAATTTCCTATCTTAGTATTAATCAGATGATTTATCGACAATTCGGATTCGTTTGAATCGCTTAATTCAATTGATTCTGCCATTTTTATTTCTTTTTATAAATTATGTTACTTTTATATACATCAATATATTATATACATTTTCTATTTACAATTTGAATTTTTCATCCTTTTTCGTGATGGCATAAAAAAAGTAGTTTTAATATATTTTTCTACCAATCCATAATTGTAAGTATAAATGTATGCTCGAATACTATTTTTTATTACAATTCATGCATATATATTTGCATTTATTATTTTTCAATAATAATCATATTTAAAAATAAGATAATTTATTTTTGTATATGTGTACATATGACAGCGATGTTTTCTTTAACTAACCTTACTTTTGACTCACGTTTATCGTTATTTATACTGCATTTGAAATGCATAAGAGTTCATTCTATTATATACTTTTTTCTTTGTTTCTTATATATTCATATTTCTTAATTACTGAAAAGTGATAAATATAAAAATAAATGTAATAAAAAATAAATTTTCCATAAACAAAATTTCGTAAAGTTTATGTCAAAGTTATATTTGACTGACGTTGTGAAGCGCGCGAAAATTGGATCGAAAAATATAAATTTACGAAATATTTGATTTCAAAATATTATTGATAGCCGTTTAATTATTTTAATATCAATATGTTATTTTTCATAATTACGAAGATATGGTATATGTAGAAAAATTATTAAAAGAAAACCACTTTGTGGTTTAAACCCGGGATTACCTTAGTCAGGTACTGTTACTGTTATGGTTGAATGCATAACATTAGTCTTTGTACAGCTGAAAATAATTTCAATATATGTGCGAAGTTATAACAGATGATATAAATGTTCAAAAAGTTATATAATTTATGGAAATTAATTTCTTAGTAAAAGAAACTAAAGCCCCATAACATATAAGAATTTATATAACGATTAGTAGATCAAACGGTGAGAAAATTTTGTGATCTGTCTACATCATGTTACGTGTTGTTTATTAGTAATAAAAAATTATTAAGTAATTAATTTTAAATATTACAGTGGAATGTGTGAAGATCAAGGTAAGGAATGCTTAAAATGTCTTTTAATAAGACAATAAATCAAAAGTGAGAATCAAATTATTTTGATACGTATTTATATACTAAATTTAAAAACAAGTGCTTAATGTCATTGAATGTTGTGAAAAAGATCGCACCAGAAAACATTGTAGAATACTACGTATAAAAATTAATTTGACGAATTTCATAAAGTAACGTTTGTTTAAGCCTATGTTTCCCTGTATGTGAAGGTAAATAATTCTGATTAATAGATTATTCATGCTACAAAGTATTGCAACTACGAAAACTTAATTTTGATCAGTTATTACAAGAGTTGAAACATGGTAAATGTGTTTAGATTTAATGAAAGCTGATGTAAAACAAAATTATTATAATAATCATTATTATTACTACTATTATTATGCTTGTTTACATACAGAAAAATACAAAGTAATCATTTAATAAAAATGTACATTAATAATTATTGAAAAACATTATAAATTAAATAAAATAACTTATATGTGAAAATAGTAGACGACAATATTTTCAGTGAAACAGAATCCAACGTAAATACAATTTAACAATTACGACATATCTTCATCATTATTATTTTTAATAATTATTATTTAAGAATTTATGTTTCAGTTGTTTTCTTAGTTTATTGTCATATTTAATTCTTGTTCGTAATTGTTTAATAAAATAATTTATCAAATTTTTGTCTATTATCATTAAATCATAATTATGGTCAAATATTAAAAGATCAATGTTGGCATGTAATTTCTTAATATGTTTAACTTAAATTGAATTGTTTAGTAATTCGCGCGTATAATAAACTAATATTATACTTTTTCTATATTCAGAACTTCAGCTCTTTCATTTTTGTTTTGTCTTCTTTTTTTTTTTTACAAATGTTACAAAGTTTAGTTTAATATTATTATAGAGGAAATATATCACAAGCGCACGTTATTGAATCATTCAGAATTACAAACACTCGTATAATATGTGCAATTTGTTTTCACTTAACTTACCCGTACAAGGAAAAGTATGCATTGACCATCATTTGTTTCAAAATAATGGATAGCTAAGTATTCAATTATATTTACTTTTATTTGCCTAGCATCTTTTCTGTAATTCTCAAATTATACCGTATATACTCACGAAAAATGTGCTTTTTTTAAATATGTTTCACAAATTTATACAATTCTTTTTAATCCCTTCACAATTATACAATTTTTAAATAATCTATTATATTGTCTATGTATTACTTTTCTTGTGCTTTTACATTTGATCAATGTTATTACAAATATATTAATCAATGTAATATATTATAATTTAAAAAGATTAAATGTTTTCTTTAATATTTTTTATCAATTGTAAAATTATATTTTTTTAATAGATTAAAAGAATACGAAGAAATGAAATATACGGTGGCCGGATAAGGGTTTTTAACTGCATACATTTGTTGATATATATTAATTCACATTGTGTTGTTTACTATAATGTTTATCATAACAAAAAATTCAATAATAAAACATTACAATTATTATTGCAGCTCAAAGCATGCGTTTATACATATCATTTTCTAATATTATTATATAATATTATTTAAAATGTGTATAGAAGCTATTTGAACGCAAAATGCATACAACCAAAATTATTAAGAGATAAATATTATGTATATGTATATACTGTTTTTTAAATTGTAATTATATTCGAACAATATACATAAAAGATAACACTTTACTCTATATGATATAATTAAAAATAAAGAATTTTTCAATATTTGCTGGTAAAAAACTTTGTATCTGGTCCCTTTCTTCCGGCTGCCGTGTGATCTTCCGTACAGACGGTTTTTCACTACGAAAATTTCAAGCCAATATAATATAATGATCTTTTTATTATCATTTCAATACGGATTTTATCTAAACCCTATATTTCAAGCAACTGGTAAAATTGCATTAAAAAGAAAAATTATAAGTTTAGTGATTTTGTTAGATAATCAAATTTTCTTTCGATTAAACGTTCGTTTTACGTATATAATATATCGTGAGTATCAAGAGAGTTTAGTTTTATTTTCTTATTTAAGAAATGTTCAATTTCTTTTCCTTTCTTTCATTTTGTTTTCAATATAAATTATCATGCAGTCGTATAATTAATATAATGCGTCAAAATTATACCAAAATAAAGGGTATGAAGTCGTAATTGTTTTAGAATAGAATGAGAATCTTCGTATTTTATTTCGTTATCTGCATACTTTCACACTTAAAACACAATCCATCTAACAATAAGTCTCACTCTCGTTCTCTCTCGTTCGCTGCTGGCGCTGCTTTTTTATTCCAGCCTCTTTTTTCCCAATTTCTAACAGGCAATATATAATCAATTACTGATAAATATTTATTATTCAAGCTATTTCTATGGACTATCGCAAATAGAAACGCATTAGAAATGGTATAAAATGGACATATTTTCCTTTCCCGTAAAAGTCTAGACCACTACTGTAAATAATTTGTATTTTCTTTTTTTCTTATATATATATATACTTTTTTTTTTTAAAGTATTTTTATCATTTAATAATAATTTTTTTTCTCTCTTCTCTTCTTTATTTTTTCTTTTTCTCTTGTCAATTTATTTATTTAATTTTTAAATGTTTTTTTTTTTTTTTTTTAAGCATATGATGCGCATTAGTTAAGAGATACAAATTACTCAAGAAGTACTTTATAATCAAAGAGGAGAAGGATTTAGAGAAGATACTAACATCGATCTTCAAAGATTTATGCGCTTTTTTTTTAAACTGTAATTTTTTTTTTAGGCTCATCACTCTCCCAACTGGCTTTTCAGTCTTTTCATTCTTTCCAATTATCAGTTTATATTCCTCTCCTCTTTCTTGCAAGTCTAGAATGCGACAATCCTAATTAACATCACTTCGTTATCTTCACTCAATAGCAACGCGGGACATCATTAAACCTCGCCTGGTGAGCCAAACCCTAATAAAAAAGTAAAAAACATTTATTAATACCTAATAAAAATATAAGAAAAATAAATATGACTATAATAAAAATATGTGAATATTATTTACCCAAAACCAGTTCCAAGCAATAGGGATAGAACATTTGTGATGATTAAAGTATAAAGAACTTCTTTAGAAAACAATCCATTTTTACCAACTTTTGCAGTGCGAATGCTATAAGATTTTTTCTTCGTCACACCAAGTGGATGCTTGAATTTCCAGTCCCTGAAATATAAAGAACAAGAAAGTATTAGCAATAAACACTAAGAAAATACTGCTTTTATTTTGTATCATAAATACTATGTACTCAAAATATAGTGTGAAGACCAAAAGTTCTTTAAATTAATTATTCTTTCAAAAAATATTTTAGACTTATCCTATTATCAATTGTTTTTTATATTTTAAAATTACAATACTACAAGCTTAGAAAGTTTAAACAAAAACAAGTAATTGTTTTTTCAAATTACTTATATTTTTTTTTAAGGGAAAGACAATATATTATTTAACTTACTTTGGAGGTGCCTGGTCGGGACGTGAGCTCCACTCATAAATCCAATCCATATTTTTGTCCAAGATTTCGCCTTCCTACAAAGAGACAAACAACGTAACGTCATCAATATGCTCTAAGAAAAAATAAATAAATACAGATAAAATAAAAATTCCCAAAAGAGTTTGTTTTAACGATGAGTTCTTCTTATAAGTGGAAATGGAGAAACGTAATCGTCTTTTTTCAGAAAATATCAGGATGTATTATTAGGTACATGTTGATAGCAACCCATAAATATACTATTTCCGTTGTGTTAGGGTGATAAATTTATTTTAAACGACACCTACCAGAATGTTAAGACTTACACTCGCATGAACAAATATAGGGAAAGATTACTGACATAAAAGGAACGAAAAATACGATTTTAAATAAATTATAATTTGTTGTTTCGGAACAACAATACTTCGTAAGTATTTTTTTTTCTAAATAAACGTAATTATTTCTATTCAAAGATAATATCTAATGTTTTGGCTATTGCATAGATGAAGTGATTAATCTATTGTATGATATATTTTTTGTATTGCAATTTCTATCGAAAAAAAAAAAAAAACAATTTAGTATTAATAATTTATGATTCATTGGGCCTCTCTTTCTCTATTTTCTATATTTAGAAATATTTTTCTAAATATAGAATATTTTTTTATCTATATCTCCCTTAGATGTCCGAAAAAGTAGATTGAAATGTAAGCATGTCAAGAACTCTGCCAAGTTTCATCACACATATGGATATACATAGTTGAATATAAATACGAAAGAATGAATTCTCAAAATAGTCAACGCATAGTCGATTTTGGATAAACGCACAGCAGTTAATGTCAAATAGAAATGCGTCTATCTAGAAAAAGTTGGCACCTGCTTCTTCATTTTAATGACGCAGCAATAAAACAATACCCTGATATAGTCGTGATTCAATAGCATGGGAAATAAGAGTGATTGATATATTTTTTTTATCGGAGCGATTAAATAAGTAAAAAATAATAAATATCAAAATAATAATCTTTTTCATGACAACCTCAGGGTCGAGTACAACAACCTTGATGACGTGTCTGCTTCTACTATCATTTTTACACTTTTATTTACGTTAAATTCAACAATGAGCGTTATCACTTATTAGTTTCCTGATTGCTATAATATCTAATAACAAAATAATTTAATTCGTAGAAATTTCTTTCGAGTCAATATTTTGTCTTATAAGAGATTATTTTTTAATGATAACTCAATCGTTATTTTTTACTCTCTTCATTTGTACTTTCGAGTATGTGTAACACAGAGAGAGGATGGTTTAAAAGATTTTAAATTTGTATATTTACAATTTGAAAACAAAATTAATCTAAAAAGTTTCGAAAAAGATTAATTGATTTTTTAAATTATCTAGACATTTTTTGATCCATCCTGTATAATATATTTTAATAATCGATTGAAAAACTAAAATTATCGAAGATGTAGATTACAGTTTTTGAATGATAACTTAATCATTTTTTAGCATAATATGTTTATTCTCTCTCTCCCTCTCTCTCTCTGTATTTATATCATCAGGTATTTATTATTAATTATATTTCAATAAAATCTTCGATAAAAATAATTATTGAAGATGAATATAATCTTAATGATAGAAAATAAATTATTATACAGAAAATCGATGAATACGTTGTGCTCTAATAATGTGATTGTAAATTAATTATAAACGAAAGATAAGGATAATTTGGAACATTTTATTTTTAAAATGAAAATAAATAAACTGTAAATTCTTTAAATAACTTCAATGGACAGTTTATTACTCATGTAATTTATACTCCAATGATTTTATTATTTATTATTTAAATACAATATACAAACTCTGAATACTGACAATCATTTTATTGAATATAAATTCTCTTCCTATGTAAATGAACAAATAGAAAAATAGGTGTATATAGATGAATATGGACTTCGAAGTTGTTTTAAAATCATTGAATGATTTCCTGTTTTGAATTACATACTATATAAGATATATGTGTAAACCTAATTATGATGAACACATTGAACGCTGGTGTTAACATTTAAAAATTAAATTTTAAATTAATTTTTACAAAGTGATTGTTGATCTGATTTTGCATAGAACATTATTTATGTTTTGTTAAAAAGTAGACAAATGCAGACAAAAAAATAATGGCAAGTAGAATATATCACGTTTAAAATAACATGTTTACATATTGTAAGAAAAGAATCTCGCAATAACATGAGACCGGCGTTCAATGTATTAAATAAATTTACTGTCTAAGATTAGGTCAAATGAATGATAAAATTTTCTTTTATAACGTTACTTATACATTGAGTACTTTATTTTCTTCTTTTCTTCCTCAAACATTAAGAAAGTAATACATATTTATGAGGAATTAAATAAAAAAAAAAAAAAAGAAATATATGTATGAATATAAATTAGCTGGTTCTGCTATGCATGGCTAGTGACGCACAATTGTGTACGCTATTATTATTTCGACACAATTATACGTAAAATCTAATGTATTATTGTTTAATATATATATAAATATATAAATTACTGCTTATGGAAGAGATAAAACAGTAATTTAACTATAGGTAAAATAATCTACTATAAAAAGAAAAAGAAAATAAACGACATAAGAGTGTAAAAAATCGATATTTATAAATTGTAATTGCATGTATAAGCGTATGCATACGCAAACACATAAATATATAAATACTTATAGTAACACGTAAAGCATAAAAAGAACGGTTATTAGTTCACGTGAGACTTCGGGCAGTAATAATTTTAGCTAATATAAAAGAAAAGGATAGTAACATATGTCATTTTTGTTCGTTGACGATCTATGGAAAATAAAAAAAAACAAAAACACTTAATTAATGCACATATTATTTTCAAAATGGTCGAGTGCATTTCCATTCAAATGCATCTTATATTTGTTTACATTTTTTCTTTCTTCAAATGATGATAAATCGTTCTATTGATTGTGGATAATGACTAAAATTGGTCCTTTGTATGCATGTGGCATGTGCATGTGCATAGGGCATATGTATATGCATAATATACATATTACATATACACAACATATGTACGCAATACCATATACAGTAAAGAGAAAGATCGATTTGTTTGGTACGATGCGCGACAATGTTAAAAGCATCGCAATGCCCCTTTACTTCAAGAACAGAGCCACTGGTACTGCGCATGGCGTGACCGCATAACACTCTCTGATTGGTCGAGAGATTCTACGTCAACATTATTCGCGCGCTCTCTCTATCTCTCTCCCTCTCATTTTTTTTTTTACATAGATAGCCACGCAAAGTTGGCAGATGTGAATAACCACTCACTGAATATAAACAGAGAGGAGAGAGAAAGAGAGAGACACTACTACTTCATTATCTAAAGTTTTCTAGGCATAGTCCTAAATATAATCTTCATATCTAGAATTTCTCTATATTATGTTTCAATGAAACAATGAACATGTCGATATTCCCCACTAGTGGGAACATTTTGTTTCCCTCTTCAAAAGCGCGCCAAAATTAAATATTTCTGATATACCTGTTTCTGTATGCATAAGTAATTATTTGACGCATATGATATTTTTACGAATAAAAAAAAAAAAGAGAAAGGATTCTTTAACTCAGATTTGTTATGTATTACCTTATTCTTTTTTTCGTTTTTAGAATTTTTTTTAATGATTATTATTATAAATTATCTTTCATTTTAAATAATATAATTGTCGGACTATTAGAATAATAGTTTTAACTTAATAGAATAATCATTTGTATTACATTTTCAATAATGTTCGTAGTTTTAATGATTCTAAAGAAGTTGTTAATGATATTGAGTAAAAATGAAGATACAAATTTATAGATTACAAGGTAGCTAACGTGAGATCGAGCACGCATAAACAGATGACGCAGAGTTCAACACTGTACACATTGAAAGATAAAACACTTCTGTATATACACATCATTACATACATTTAAAAATATATAAATAACACAACTTCCTTATCAATATTTTTTTGTTTGGTTTTATTTTTCTTTTTTCATTGTTAGTCCGATTTATTTGTATGAAAGATTATTTTAATTAAAACAATTTGTCTATCAAATTTATTAAACGCGTACGAACGTCTGTAATATTTTCTATTGCGACTTTTTACGTTGCTATTACTTTTAGCTTATTGACGGTACTTATGTTTATCTCTTACGACTTATATACGTGCGAGTAAACACGCAAAACACAAGGGAGATCTTTTAAAGTGTAATTATATCTCAGTCAATTTCCATTTACGCAAAACAATCACGACAATCTATAATGAATCGTTTGAAAAAGAAAATAAAAAACTAATAAATTTTCTAATTAAATAAATGATATTTTTTTTTCATGAATGAATTACAAATAATCTTAGTGACTTATTGTTGATTTTAAAAATATTAAGGAATAAAACCTAAATAAAACAATTTCTTGATGACACGAATACTTTACTTCAAATCTGCATTCTCTTTTACATGCTATAACGAATATAATTGATTATTTTATCTTCCTTTTACAATTAGAAATAAAACGGTAGCGTTCTATAGCTTATTCGATAGCACACATTCAAAATATATTATTCAGGTGCGGTTGCACACATTCGCAAAAGTCGTAACACAACTTTAGTACGATTTAAACGGTGGTGCAAGCAGCTCAACCGGTTTGTTACATCCAACGAGAGGAAGAGTAGAAGCGAGGATTGCCGAGCTTTTCTTTTAAAGATCATACGATATGCCTTTTAATTTTATTTATTCTTCTTATTTTTATATGTAATGTATGCGTATTATATTAACAGGAAATCCGAGATTACTAGCTCGTACAATCTTTTTTTTTTTTAAGTCACATTTCTATAGAAAATTATTTTATCTTCAAGACAAATTATTTCATTTTCATTCAGATAAATATTTTCAAAATATTTGTAATCTTTTTTAAAAATTTGAAACTAAAAATTTAATTGTGTTGTGCGTGCACTTTTTAATTTTATTTTTTGTATAAATTATTATTAATCATATTATAGAGTATCAAAGGTAAAAATTGATAGTAAAGTTTTAAAAACCGCGAATGATGATGTCCTTGATGATAATATATTTTATATTGAATTCTTTAAACGCGTCTCTCTCTTTTTTTTTTTTTAAGAAATAGACGTTAGCATCCAATTGCAGGTAATGCGGTGTTAGCTGCGTAAGCCACGAACGTATATACATAATATAAGAAATATAATTCCGAAGGATTAACGATGCGTATAACGAGTTATTCATATTTCAATATAATCGAAAGGATGAAAAAAACGTTAGATAATACAGGATGTATAAAAAAAAATTTCCGTTAAAGTAATAATTGAACTTTAGTAACGTTTCTTATTCATTCCAAGGATTAAGAAAGTTTTCAAAATTCCTTTATCCTTAAAATGAATCCTGAAATTAATTTGAACAATCCCTAGTAGCACAAAATATTGAATACATGTGTATTTAATACTAAAAAGACATTAAATCTCCTTTTAATATTAAATACACATGTATTCAATATTTTGTGCTACTAGGAATATCTTAATTACTAGATGATTCTGTAAAAAAAACTTGAGAATGAGATTCCTAGTTGTAAAAGAAATTATTAGTATACCCCAAGATCTTAATAATTAATATAATGTTTATTACTGAAACATATCTATAACGATTATTCGTCGGACGAATGGGCAAGCTCATAGCAACGGGTAGCAGTAAAAGAATGATTAAAAAGGCAGGTTGTTTGAGCAAATGCTTTAATCTCGCTTGGCAACGCCGTTACGAACTATAGTAAAGTTAGATATTATAGTGACTTTCACATCTGGCCTCTCTGCTTTACGCGCCCCAAGCCTAGTTTTAACTTGTAGGGGAAGATCAAAAAGGAAATACACCATCGATGTTCTATTTACGGTCAAATTTAATCCTATGTAACACTTCCAAACTCTACCTAATAAATTTACATACAGATACAATCATAATTTTTGTTGAAAAAAAAATAAATAAATAAATAAAAGAAATTTTGTCGAAAAGTAAATAGTTGAGGAAATTGTATAAGTTTTAATTGACTTGAACAAAAAAAAAATAAAAATTAAGAAATATCTCTAATTAATCTTCATATAAAAAAATTGTAATAAATAACCTTTTAGTATTAAAGAGTGACTCATAAAAAGAAAGAAAAATTCTACGAAACGAAGAAGTTTCACCTCGTTATCATCGTTACTCACTCTGGACAAGATATAAGTATTCTTTTGTAATTATTTTTGCTTTGTTGTATCTTTTTTTCCCCGCAGAAGATAAACTCACCGGTCTCCCTACATAAAAGCCTTCTTATTATCGACACTACCAGAGTATCTAATATACATGCATGACGAAGAGACAAACGTTTCACATACATACATTATGGATTTGAGCTACAGGTGTATGTTAAGTCTTTTCCAAGAGATACTGCATATATCTTATAAATAGCTGATAATTATTTATTTGCGAGAACATTGTTCCTTTTATTTACGTAAATTAATGCAAAGAATATTCAAGAAAGTTATGCGAATCGAATAAAATACAATACAACAGTATTCCTTGCAAATATATAGGGTATACCAGATTGCTTGTCTTTGTTCTTTTCTATGACATGTAAAATATTCAAGTTAGCAAAATTTTACTATAGCATATTTTAGAATAATAAATTTTATTTGTACGAAGATGGCTATAATGTTTTACACATAATTGATGTGAGAAGAGTCACGATACATAAAGTTATTATTTTTTTATGAAATATGGAATAAAATTATTTTGAAACGGGTTTGTGACATTAACACGTCATTTTTGAATATCTAAACATATATACACTTAAGATATAATAGAATTATTAATTATGTTGAGAAATATAAAAATGAGCTTATAAAAATAATGCATTGAGAAAGTATACCATGACACATGACCATGGCGAACCAAAATAGCCTCCTACTAAAAGCGAAGATCAGAATGAATCGTTGAAATGAATTAGAAAATGACGACGAAGTTAATTCGATTACAATGATCATACGAGCTTCTTGTCCTACTTCTTGTCAGTAGGTTGTACATATAGGTGACGAAGGATGCAAGATGGTAGACGTAAACCATTTAAGGTGAATGATGCTCCATCGTAGTAAACCTTATCAAGAAATCCTTACTTGGTGAATATACGAGAAAATTGAAACCGCGGTAGAGGACTTTGGTAATTGTATCACAAGAGAAACAGTTGATGATTGTAAAATAAACTAGTAAACCAGTTTGACTACATTTAGATATTTTCTAGTAAACAGGTTTACGTACTTTTATGTATTATTGTCACTTGTTATAAAATGCAACACCTCACACACACAATTTCAATTGTACGAAAGTATATACTCGAGGAAGTTGTTCATTTAAAGTGTTTCCGTTTAAATTTGCCGATATTTGCTAAGAAGTTTGAACTACGAAGAGAACTGAGTATGTACTAATTACTTTACCATTGTTTTTCTTATTGTAGATTTTGAGTAATAATTATCATTGAGCCATTACAAATGTGCATGCCCTATTTTTTATTTAAAACGTCAATAAATTCTATTAAGTGGTTTCTTATAACTTTTTAAATGTAAGATTATTGGAATGTAAAAAAAAGGAAATAAATTTGGAATATAAATAATATAATAGAAATATATGAATTTTTCTTGAAAGCAATTCCGAAGGCGTGTTCGGTTAAGTTACCGCACCTATCGGTGGAAGAAATGTTCACAGACTACATGATAGAGTCACTGATCCGAGGACCTTGTAAAGAAGGTGAAGCTCGTTCGATAAAACCAGTTGCACAATATGTTTTTGGATTATCTCTCTAATTTATTCGTCAATTATATACGAAAATAACGTCAACTATTCGGAAGAATAAATGGAATGACTTTGAAGATTTGTTTTTATTCAAAATTTGATTTCGATCTTTTGAACGAAGATTTTTTTGTCAACAACTAGAAATATTGTTTTTTTCACTCGGGTCAAATAGGTAGATCATGTTTGTGGTTTCTTTATAGAAACCTTTATAATCGACCACAAAAAGTTAAGCGTACGTATACACGATAGATTTATATATTTGTGTGTGCGTGTACGTATAGATGCTTTGCTTCACTCAGAAATTTATGAGACACACCTCGCAACAGACGGTTTATTACGATCGATTTTCTAGACTGACCTTGTTGCTGTAATTTATGTAGACGCCTTTGAGCTCATCTTCAGTACAGAGTTCCGTATTAGGGCTGTTTGGTGGACTCTTTGGGCTAAAATAAGAGAAGAATAGATATCTCATGATCTATCGTTAAGCATTTTTCAATTATTTCAATATGTCGAAATTTCCAGCTTTTTAACTTTTATATTTAGGAAACTCGCGTTTGGTTTTCAATAAGCCAACGTCCAGCTAGAAATAAATTTCAAAGAATGATAATAATCATCGTTTTTTTCTTCTTTCCCCGTTTCACTCTTTTTCCTTTTTCTTTTAAAAGACGTTCATTAAATCGTTTCTTTCTCACTAAATAATTTTCTTTTAGAACGAGAGTTTCAAATAGCACACAAAGAAACACTTGCTCCAAAAAAAGATTCTTTCTTCTCTTTGTTCGTGAGTCATCATAAGATGGGTTTTTTTTTTATTTTCTTATATCTTAAGATCCCTTCTCGTCTTGAGAAGAACGAAAAGCGATGAAGAAATATAGAAGCTGAATTTTCTCTGTTTGTAAAAGACACCATGCGTTATGTAGAATGTTATGATTACACTGTTGAGCAAACATTTTTACCTTGACAATATCGTTATTAATAACTTTTATTTTTATGGATTTTTACAACAACACAATCCCTCATTTATAATAAAATTATATATATAATAAAAATAAGAATACAAGAATTCTTTTTGGGATCACAAGCTTCTCTTTCTTTAGGATAATTTGTGGAACAGAAAGAATTAAAAAGTGAATAATATTCACCTAGCTCCAGGAGTACCCCGACGTGAAGATGCTAAAGAATGCCTTGCTGACGACTGAGTTGAGTCTCTCTGTGCTTCTCTTAAAAGTCGTAAATATTCTTCCGAACTGCTGAATGGCAGTGGTGTTCGCCTTTCCGACGATATCGAGTTCACCTCCACCCATGATTCTGTAAATTTTAATACAAATTTTTATACAATTGAGAGAAAAACAAAGGTCACTTTTCAAACATAATTCTTAAACGTATATTTGTAAGAATTTCATTTTCAATTTAAACCAATCATGAATTAACACTAGATATACCAGACCAGTCATTTTGACTGGTCGGGCCATTTTAATTCAAAATTTCTACTTCGTGTAACATTTGATTTCTGTAAATAATTAAGCGTTTTGTTATTTAAAAATGTTCATAAATCCATTTATCTATTAAAATTATTATTGTTAAACATTTTTTGTTATTTTTTAAGAGTAAATAAAGACTGGAAGCCTTAAAAAAGCCTTTTTTTTTGTATACCCAGTCATTTTGACTAGTGTGGTAGAAGTAGGTATACTGAAAATGGTGGTATATCTAATGTTAATTGAAATCTATATCGTTGAGATTTAGCAGATCCTTATGCATCCGGAGTTAATATTAGCATTTGTTGCTTTTACCTAGACTATGATAAACTTGAAAAAGAAATGAAAGTGAACTATTTTTATCGTGTGGATACGTACATAAAATAAATTAAAACAAATCTTTTCAATTTTTCGATTTAATCCACTGTCATAATTACTGATACATATATTACATATTATATATATATATATATATATATATATATATTTTTATATTTATTTGAATGAGAATGATATAGATCCATGATCATACAATCTGTTGCCGTCATAATCTACTGTAAATATCACATACATAATGTAATACGAGACCTTCGTTTTTGCTTACAATACTCTCATGAAGTCGTCTTCGTTGTTCATTCGTCGTTTTGTACTGATTACAGTTTTAAACGTCCATGAAACATCTCTATAGAAGACTACCGAGCTTGTTCTCTACGATCTCATTCTCGATTATATGAAAATGCATACATTGTTATTACGTAAAAACAAACAAGTTTTAATACTCGAGAAGTTCGATTTACTAACAATAAGTGTTGCATGTATATAGCTTGAATGCACTGTATTGAGACTTATGACGACATAACAGTGCAATATATTTAGCTATTTCTTCACTTTGATAATGCCCGATTAAAAAATGTCTTCGACCATCGTGAGAAAAAAAGGCTACACAATCAATCTTAATCAGTTTGCATCGTCATATTTCCTAATAAGCATCAGAATTACGTAAATATGTTTATAGTATGTATAAGTGTGTGACGCGTAATTAAAAGCGTTACTAAACTTGTATTGCTCTTTTGATATAAATTAATTAATGAGACTAATTATTGAGTTTTACAAGCTGATGAACATTTTTTTTTAATTGAATGTGTATATGTATTTCTAGATTTTTGTTCAGAATTATTAATAAAAATTGATAATATATATAACACTAGATAAACCGGACCAGTCATTTTGACTGGTCGGGCCATTTTAATTCAAAATGTCTACTTCATGTAACATTTGATTTCTGTAAATAATTAAGCGTTTTGTTATTTAAAAATGTCTATAAATCCATTTATCTATTAAAAATATTATTGTTAAATATTTTTTGTTATTTTTTAAGAGTAAATAAAGACTGAAGCCTCAAAAAGCATTTTTTTTTATACACCAGTCATTTTAACTAGTGTTGTAGAAATAGGTATACTGAAAATGGTGATATATCTAATGTTAATTGTGTTAACAATTTGAAAATATTTCATTTATATTAGAAAATAATTTTAAATTATCGTGCGTTCATCGAAATATAAAAAAAGAAAAAAAAAGAGAGAAATGCATCACGCGAAAAGGCAACTATAGTTTATTAACCATTTATCAAAACGCACGTGTACGTAATCGATTAGTTTTTACCATTCTCAGAAATAAAAGTTAAGTAAGAAGCATTGAATGCAACGAAACGGATTTCTTTCTTCAATGACCCCCATCTTTATCAGCAAAACGAAACGAATGAGAGATAAAATATATCTATTATCTAATATTATTTCTATCATGATCGTTACGTGCATGCAAATACTGATAGAACCTTTATCAACACTATATTCTTCTAACCTCCTATATATGTATGCATATATAATATGTAGAAGACCGAGCGCACATACGTTCGATAAAGGAGAATGAGAGCATAAATAATGTTTCTATAGCTGATCAACTGCGTCGTTGAAGTTATTATATTTTAGTAAAGGAAATTTCATCTTATTTTAAGAAAAATTCTGAAAAAAAATCGACTTGATTTGAAAAGCATTTCAATAAAGAATCTCCAATTATCGCAACTTGTTATATCATAAAATTCGGTTTTTTTTTTTTTAATAAATAGTGGCTGTGAGAAACTCTGTATATGAAGAATACATGGATGAGAAAAGTAGGTTTTATTTCCCACATGAATCAAGTACTGCTAGAAATAAATGAAAATACACTACATCCTAGTTTCTCTTATACAATTTTATTATTATCTTTTCTATACGCGTATTCAATTTTTTTCCTCTAATTTTCAAGTAAATAAAAAAAAATACGATTTTCATTTTTATTTTTTGACATTTTGTTTACATTCACACACGTCAAGTTCATTATACGTAATTGAAAATTTATTGTGTAATTTTTGCGGGTTAAATGATTTTTTTAATTATCAAAAATGTCTACGCGTAATGACAATTACATCGACGACAACATCGAAAGCTTGTTTAATTCATCTAATGTCTCGACAATTAACAGCACCAAGAAAAGAACAATATCCGAGAAATCCGAAATAACATTAGATTTGAATGAAAATGAGAAGTGTGATTACGTGATTACCGAAGATTTAGTAAGAATTAATATGAAGGAGTTACGTCGATTAATGAAACTGATGCAACCGATTATAAATTCATAAAAAGAAGATTACTGCAAATTTTTAAGTAACAATATTTTAACAGAAGTTAATTATAAGTAAAGATTATTAGCCAATTATAATTACACAATTTTTATAATTATAATTCCATTGACGATTTCTTATTTATACGAAATTAGGTTTCCGGAAGTTGCTGTGATAAAATCCAATATTATTATCGCCTGAAACTAAATGTGGAGAAGGAAATACTATATTATCATAACAAGGATTTATTCATAATTAAAACTCTTATATAAAAAAATACTTGTTTATAGAAGAAAACAAATAATCTAATTAGAATAAAATAATTTTTTTCCTAGTATAGTAGAAAAAGTCAAACTCAGTGTTAACACTAGATATACCACCATTTTCAATATACCTATTTCTACTACACTAGTCAAAATGACTGGTGTATAAAAAAAATGCTTTTTGAGACTTCCAGTCTTTATTTACTCTTAAAAAATAACAAAAAATGTTTAACAATAATAATTTCAATAGATAAATGGATTTATAGACCTTTTTAAATAACAAAACGCTTAATTATTTACAGAAATCAAATGTTACATGAAGTAGACATTTTGAATTAAAATGGCCTGACCAGTCAAAATGACTGGTCTGGTATATCTAGTGTTAATTGAACGTCACATTTTAAATAATATTAGCAGCAATAATTTAAAAATAGTAAACATTTTTAGTAAGCTAACGACCGGACGTGGAATCAAAGAAGTAGCTACTTGCACACGTGCTTTTTATCAAGGCCACACGTGTTGAATACGCGAGTGTTGTCATAATGCACCTTGTCATGCATTTGCATACATCATTCCGATATTTCAATGCCCTATAGTCTTTGGCAACTTTTATTTAATCAACAATAAGTTTGACTCACAAGACACGATTATCTGACAGTTATAACACATGCTTAAAATAATAGCATTGTAATGCAAGGGTAAACAATAAATAAATTATAATCAGTTATCATCATTTATATTTCCTTGTCACAATTATATATCCTTCCTAAAATTTGAATAAAATTATTTGAATTTTATATCAAGATAGAAAGTTATTTTTTCAATAGAAAATTTTGCCAATAGGAAATTATTGTGAAAAGGAATCTTAAATTTCCTTATTGCAAAAACTTTCACCAAATTCTTATATAAGAAAAACGATAACCAGAAAAAGAAATGAGAAAAATTTGTACGCAGTCATATAACTCTCCATTCATCTAACTTTCTTCATTAGAGCAAAAAGTTAAAAAGTTATTTTCATGTTTAACAAACAAGATTTATTCTTTTTCATTAGATATTTTAATCCAAAAAAAAAAAAAAANAAAAAAAAAAAAATCGAACAGTTGACCTCGTGCAATCAAGTATTTTAGGTCAAACATTTATCGCTAATTCGTGGCTGGTAATCATGTATATTCTGCGACGAAAATATCACTTGTAGAGTACTAGAAAAAAAAAAAAAGAAAAATAAAAAAGATTTCAAGAAGAAAGCAAGCTGATATATTTGCAAATTATTCATACGATTTCGTTTTTAGCGTTTTGCAACAATAGTTTCAAAACGAATTGAAAACTTTCGAGTATATTGCACTTTAAAGTTAAATGAAAATTACCATTTTGTTTTATGTGTATAACCGAACGTATTATTCAAAAGTCAATTGGACACAATTTAGCCTAACAAATTTTTTTTTATCTGACCAGGAAGGGAACGATGATAAAAAGTTTTATCTTTTTTTATTTTTTCTAGTTTTAAATTGTTAATGAAGGAGAACAAATTCTTTAGATTCCATCGTAACAAAACTTATTTGAAACGTGACGAGAATACCGAGATAAAGTGTTGTAGACAAAAAAAAAATAAGTTTAATAAGCAAGTCACGTGATTTTAAATCACAGTGCGCGGGAGAGATTTAAACGAGCCGAGAAGAAAAGGTTCACAGTATTTAAAAATAGAAATCAACTGAATGGCGGCCTCTTTTCATCGATCTGTCGCTTCGAATACGATTTAATTATTACACATTGCTTTTCTTTGTCTATCCGATGTTTTTTTTTGGTCCATTAAATGAAACAATTGATTTAATTCATACCGAAGTTTTTTTTTATTTTTACTTTACCATACAAAGCAGAAATTTTCAGCCTGGGTCATATTTTTCATTAAAATATAAAAATAGTTCGCATATGTTCGTTATTAGATTAAAATAAATTTAAATGCATATTAATTAATTGTATTCAATAAAAACTAAAAAATTTGTGAAGTAATATTTGTTGTTTTACCATCTTTTACTTTTAATATTTGCATTATGAGTAAGTGGAAAGTGTAAAATTAGTTTTCGCAAATGGATCTTCGCTCATAAAATTTTGGGATTCTCTGACATAAAGTATATTTAAATTACATTAACACTTTCGCGACTGGCATTTTTGTGGCGAAATATCCATGACTATATGTAATATTCAAGTCTTAAACTGGATAAAACTTTTATTTAAATGGTGATATGTGAAGATAAAAAATATTGCTTTACTACATCATGCTTGTAATCATTTTTTGTTTAAAATTATAAAAAAAAAAGAAAGAAAAAAAATATTAACTGTAAAAATAAAAGAGTAAAAAAAGTATTACTGAGAATGATTCACCAAGAAAACATATTTCATTGGTAGAAAGGTTTAACTTGGGTCAAGCTTCTTTTCTATTACTATATATCTGACGTCACACTTTTTCCTGAGATACAACACGTACACACAAAGAAACAAAACACATTCTATGAAACGTCCTGCAATTTCTAAGGAAAGATGAGATCGATAACCGATGATAATAAAATTCTAAGTAGAAAGTATGTAGATAAAATCAGGAAAGAAATTGTACGAGGAGATAAAAACAATCGAAAAAAAAGAGTCTTTGAACGTTTTAATCCTTGATTAGAAAATATTCAAGATAATTATTATCTTCTCTTATTAATTTTTAATTTCATAGATATACACATCTGTGTAATTATTTTTATTAAATGTATTGTGTATTGCGTGTCGTGTATTTTAAAATTTTATAAATACGTCGCACATAATATACAATACAATATATATATTACAATAACAATTCGCGAGCATCAACAAAATTATTTAGCATAAGAAATTTCTAATGTGAATATAAGGTTTGTTTTTGTTTCATTGAAATTTTTAAAATAAAAATTAACACCAGGATGGTAACTCAGAAAATTCTTGGGAATGATACAGCCATTGATTGCCTGACTCTGTCACGTTTTCTGTTTTCCTTCAAATGACTAAGCAAACACGTTAAACGTAGGGCACCATCTTCCAAAGCAAAGAAGACTAGCCAACAAAAACGTTGGCCATGATCTTGGATGCAAGAGACACGTTCTCCCTGCGTTGTATATATGTATATGCATATGTATATAACGCTTCGTTTTAAATAGACGAAGAAGATCGATAAGAGTTGTGCCGACAGGACACTGACCCAATTGTCGACTTTGTGATCAATTCTACGATAGTATGAGCAATTAGAAAAACTCAATCTTCCTTTATATTTGATAACAATAATAATAATAATAATAATAATAACAATGATGATAATGATGATGATATATGAGTCAGATGTAAATATAGTACACACTCCGTTGTCTTCCTAACTGCGAACAAAGAATATATAAGAATTTAATCAAACAAATACATTTTCATATGAAATATTAAAATAAATTTCCAAGATACCAAGATTAGTTAAAAGCTTCTGAACTTGTAGTTTTATAATTTGAAAAAAAAGAAAAAGAAAATGGCTTGAAAAATTTTGAAACAAAGATTAATAGGATCATCCGTAAAAATTTTTGGTCCACCTTGTACAAACTATAAAAAGTACATCAAACATTTTAATTAATTTTTATCACGTTGTATGGGCGTACGTAGGTTATATTTTATATATCATTTGTTTTGAGTGAATAAAAACAGATATAAACATGTATATCTCTAATTAGGTGTACTAAACCAGGAAAGATAAAAAGATTTGATTCTATTTTTTTTGGACGTGTGATAATATTATTTTCGTATAATTATCGTACGACTTTGTTATATTTTTTTTTTGTTCATTTTGTATTTTATCAGTGTGGTCTATATGTCAACAGTCTGATTTTTCTTTTGCATATTACAAAAAGTTTCCTATGTGTTTTGTTTAGACTTAACAGATGCTAGTCTTTGATAACTGATAATTCCGTCGAGTTTAATCGTCATCTGCATCTTCAGAATACACTCTGGTTAATCTAACCACTTCATTTATCTCTATTTTTTTTTTTTTTTTTTATATTAGAGAGAACTTATATAAAATATATAGAGGATGTCTCAAAGTTATTTTACCGAAAGAAATGAAAAATAAACACTAGGTTTATAGGAATTATAGTATTGTTAACACTAGATATACCATTTTAATTCAAAATTTCTATTTCATGTAACATTTGAATTCTGTAGATAATTAAGCGTTTTGTTATTTAAAAATATTTATAAATCTATTTATCTATTAAAATTATTATTATTAAACATTTTCTATTTTTTAAGAATAAATAAAGACTGGAAGTCTCGAAAAGCATTGTTTTTTATGCACCAGTCATTTTGATTAGTGTAATAGAAAATGGTGGTATATCAAGTGTTAAAAAATCATGGATTTAAGATTTTCTAATTTTTCGGTTTATTAAACCATCTTTTGAATCATTCTTTATACAATTATGTATAAATAGTCACCAATTAGTTTTGAAATATACAAAACGTAGAAAAAAACAAGTCATAAAATAAAATGTTAAAAATTTGTTAATCGGAAAAAAACATTTGTAAACACAAAGAGATAAACATCTAACAATAAGTGTTATTATACTTAAAATTATGTACATACATAAAATGTTCACATGGACATTTAAATAAGTTACACAAAATACGATTAAATCCATACATATCAGAAAATACTTTTCTAAGATATATTAGATGATATAGAATGATAGAAAAGCTCTGTAATAAAACTGATTGTGAGTCGTTATTACGTGAACATATTCGAACGATGACAACGATGACGAGAAGACAATCACAAGCCATTTTATTGCTTGATTTCGAGGAAAATATTAACACAAATATACCTTTTAATATTCTTGAAAATGTATATATGTTTATATTTAATTATGTACAAAATATCTATCCCCAACTTAAGTAGACGTGAAGGATATAAATTAACGAGATATGGATGCCTATCAAGATTGCATTTGTTTATTAAATTTTCATCTCACACGATTCCTCTTCTTTCTCTGTCTTTTTTTTTCTTGCTATATAGTACGTTTAATTACATTTAAATACTAATATACTATTTTTAATAATTACATAAAATTTTTAACGTTTAAAATTTGTTTAAGATTTAAAGACAAAAAATTGAAATTGTTTGTATGTTACTAACGAGATTTAATTGCTCCAAACAAATGACAATGTGTCTATTTTATTTAATAATTTAAAAAAAAAAATAAGAAATCGACTGAACATTTATAAACGTGTCTAGAGACAATATATATATATAAACGCGCAACACATTCGTTGACGACGCAAAAGAAACGGTGTTTGTTTACGCTGTGAAAGTAAAGGAACGCGGCGCAATGGCTGCATTTTGTCGGCAATGACAGCTGCTGGCGTCCTACGTTTACATGGTATCTGGATAAGCTCCATTTGATTACACATCAAAAGTAGACGATCATTTTTTGAAACAAACGAAAGAACAATTGTATATTTTATTTTATAAGAAAAATAATGTTATATTTATCTGTTTACTTAAATACATCCTATACAGAGATACGTTGAATCGGCAATAACAATCCGTTTTGATTGATGCCAATTTCGCAAAAACTTACTCCGAACAATGATTAATTCAAATATTTAAATATCCACAAAACGATAAATTTCATTTGATGATAGTAATATATTTTAAAATGATGATGGGCGTTGATTTGACTTACCCCCTAAAAGCTCGTCTGAACTATATTTCGCCGAGGAAAACATATTTAATACACAAGGAAAAAAGAGAACTAGACTTTTTGCTAAACAACAATCACGAATAGTACGGCGATCCGAAGAGACGCATGCAGACGACGATTCGTTTCGTGCGCGTACACGTATCAACACGACGTAGAGACGCGAGGCACTTGCGACGAATTATCGCGATAAAATGCTAGCCCGGGACTCTCACGTAGTTGATCTGCCTTTGTTTTGATGAAACGTCAACACACACAACTCGCCCGCGCTAACCAATCGTGTGGCCGCGCGGCCCACCGGGTACCACTACACTAGTCAATTGCATTTAAAAGTACTACGTTATCCAAATCAACGTTTATCATTCTTTTCCTTTCTTTCTTTTAGCAAGATGCAACCCTGAAACAAAAAGATGTTAAATGTTTCTGATCATGCTAGAAATAGAATTTGATTGAAGAAATTGAATATTTATTATGCTTATTTAAAATATTAAATGTCGATATATATATATATGAATAAAATTATTATTATTACTAAATCTCTTACTATTTCTATAGAAGTATATACATAAATGTATATTTTATTGATTGGAATTATGAAATATTTTTCAAACATTATTCGAAGTAACAAACATAGCAATAAGAAAATAATTGATTTTATTTATATTTTTAGATATATCGAATATTAAAATACATGTATAGTGATTTTGTCGATACTGTTACTCTTTTCGCACGCGAAGAATTGTTTTAAATAATAACATATCTATTTTTATTTATTGTATCATATGTTTATTTATTTAAGAAAAAACTATATTATACGGAGATAGAAAAAAAGTTAAACTAAATATGTTATTATTTAAAATAATTTTATATTGACATATTGACGTATATTTATAAGCGCGGCCGCTGCTTTCTTACTAAACGCGATGGCAGCACCATACAACATATTATTCGAAGCATTAATTTGTATAGCACGACACGTATTTTACTCATGTGCTGCGTAAATCGTGATTCCTACAACAAGTCAACTCAATTCTCGTTATCAAAAGGTATGTTTACACTTGAGTACATAGTGAGAAATGAAATTTGTATCCTCGATAACAAAAGACGTTCGGTATGAGACACGAATAGAGAGAATAAAACTTCTTCGGGAATCGTTCTGCGTAGATTGTTAAAAATGGTCGCCCCTTAGGTGATCTGTCAAGCAATTTTGTTCCATTTTGTAATTATTATGAACCGGTAGACAAAAATATTCCAAATTTTTAGTATATAACCCATTTCAAGATTAAATTCGAGGTAATTGTGAATTACATCGACCTAGGAGCATATTATATAGCAATAAACCTCCCATATGTGTCAACGGAACGTAGCATTCTTAAACGTTCCGTTTGTTGTCTCTCAAGGTGTCTCCAAGAGTTCAAGGTTCTATTTCGTCAGGCACTTTCCAAACTTTCCGTTTTTATCTGCATGTTTAATTGCCAATAAGAATATAAAGAAGATAAAATATCCATATGGTATTTTTTTTACATATATTGCATAGAATTGTTAATTGATCAATGCAATTAAGAATAACAAACCTATATATATATATATGGTCATATATATGTTATATATATGTCAAGACAGAGTGTATTGACTTTGAGTTTGTTAAGTCCAAGTTTTTTTTCCAATTTTTTTACACGAAAGATAACGGCTTATGAACAAGATAAAGATTACTGTGCTTTTTATATAATATATATATAATATATATATAATATATATATATATATA